CACAAGAATGCTTCACACTTCTTGCGAATGAGTCGACGAGCATGAATGTAGGAAATGAATTCTGGAGCTTTCGGAAGAAGCTCACCATGGATCAGTACGTCACTACCGTCTTCGGCTCTCAGTCGAACAGTATGAACTCCACAGTCAACAACGGCTTGGTTGGCGGTGAGCCAATCCATGCCCAGAATAACGTCAAACTCACGATGTGGAAGCTCAATGAGACTCGCAGGGAAAATCTTTCCCTGGACCACTAATGGGCAATCATGATACACATGGGTGAGTCGTAGGCTATGTCCCAATGGGTTGGACACTAATACCGGATTGTCTAAATTTTTCCTCAGAATGTTAGGCATAACAGGCATAGGCATACAAACATATGATAAAGTGGAACCCGGATCAATCAAAGCTATAATAGATGTATCGAATAAGGTGAACATACCCATGATGACGTCATGGGCGGGCTGCTCGGTACGCCCTCGCATTGCGTAAGTACGGGCCTTCCCCGCCTGAGCGCCAGATGCCTACCGTTTGGGCTGGCTAGATGCTGCCGCCGACTTCTGACTCTGGGCGGGCTGCGCTGCTGGGGCTGGAGCGGCTGGTGCGGTCGAGAATGCCTCACCCGGATTCTTCGGACAATCTTTTCGGAAATGCCCGGCCTGGCCACACCCAAGGCACAGGCCAAGAGTGTACCAACACTCCCCTAGGTGCCTGCGCCCACAAAGGTCGCAAATCGGGTTGCGAAACCCATCCCCGCTCTTGCCCTTCTTCTGTACGGACGCAGATGACTGAGCTGGGGCTGACTTCACCTTCTTACTCTGGTGAGAGTTGCTCGGCGCTGTAAAGGACCTCTTGCTGCTGGTTCCCGCCTTCTGGGGTGGAGGAGGACGAGATGGTGCCGATGACACTCCTAGTGTCTGCTCATACTCAGCCTTCTTGATGAGGGCCGCGTTCAAATCCAACGCATTCTTGTACAACGCATTGATGTCACTCCGGGGAGCAATGATCAGATGGGTCGAAAGGTTGGGACGTAAACCCTCCACAAAGCGTTTGCATCGCTTCTCCACGGTCGGTACGAGGTCTAGCCCAAACCCCGCGAGCTCGTCAAACTTCTGACGGTACTCAGGCAGTGTGAGTTCACCCTGGGTGAACTTCAAAAACTCCTCCCGCTTCGCCTCGACGAAGTGCTCAGGGATGTACTCTTCGTGGAAGAGTCGGTCAAATGTGGCCCACTGCACGGGCTCTGGGACGCCTGCTCCCACACGCTTCCACCAGTCGTAGGCGGAATCCTGAAGTAATGCGACTGCGAGGTCGCCACGCTGCTCCTGTGGAACCCTCAGGTTCCCCAACACTCGGCTGGTTCGCTCAAACCACCGTTTGGCAATCATGGGGTCGGCGATCTGATCGCCCAAGAATTCCTCAGCTCCATTCTTCCGGAGTTTCTCGATAGTGACCACCGCCACTGGTGGCGGCGGTGGTGGCGGTGGTGGCACGTAAGCTCCAGCCATCTGCTGGAGGAAGTTCATGAAGTTAGCCGCGAACTGCGGCTGGACAATAGGGATGGCTTCCGGTATAGGGCCCACGCCCGGGACCGCCTGCTCGGAGGCCTGCTGAGGTGTGAAGCTCGACGCTTCAGTGTGCACGCTCACGTGCTCAGGCTCCCCCTCTGGGACCGCCTGTCCGTCATTGCCAGCTGCTTGACTCATTCTCTAAAGGAATAACTTAAATCAGAACTAGTTATAATATGACATACATGTGATCTAAATAACGGTGTACCTTTCCCTGGGAGTGATGCGATGGGAGATG